GAGGGCATGCGCCAGGTAGCCCACCCTTGACAAACAGAACAAAGCGACGACGAACGACCCTAGGCGCACATTCGCGATGGCGCAGCGCTCGTCAAGTTTTTCTCATGGCTCGAGGAGCAGCTCGAGGCAGGAAACGAGTCGCTGACTGAAGTCAGCGTTGCCAAGGCCCAGCAAGCCTTCCGCGAAGAAATGGCAAGTGGTTCAATGCACGTCGTTTCAATCGACTCACATAGTATTGTAGGACAAGTTCGTGTCGCTCAGCTTTGAGACCATTTCGGGCTCGGGCCCGAATGGCGCCATCATCCACTACGACGTACGGTACCGGCAGTACACGGTTCGATACACATGGATGCGCTGCATAGCCCAAGGAGGAGACGTGCGGCAGCGTGACCACGGACAAGATGTACCTCAACGACTCGGGCGCGCAGTATCTCGACGGCACGACGGACGTGACGCGCACGTCGCACTTCGGCACGCCGACGACCCACGAAATCTACTGCTTTACGCACGTCCTCAAGGCGCACATTGCGCTCGCGACTGTACGTGGTCTTGGTCGTCGTCTCTGCGTCAAGCCAACGGGGTGTCTAGGCCGTCTTCCCCAACGACTGCGACGGCGTCAAGCTCGATGCGCTCACTCGCGCGCCGTTGTGGCGGTACGTAAAAGGCTTCTGTCGCGTCCGCTCATACGTTCCCTAAGCGCTGGGATGGACTACCGCCACGGCACGGGCCACGGCGTCGGTGCGTTCTTGAACGTCCATGAAAAGGGCGTGGTACGACAACCATATGCTGCCTTCGTCCATGACGTGACCGTGCTTCATGCTTAGCTCATGTCGTTCAAGCTCAACCCCACGGGTCTCTTGATTGGCGAAAACATGATTGTCAGCAACGAGGTACGCTGTGCTGCGGTTGCGGGGGGATGGGTATCATGCCACGTGTGTCTAGCCCGGCTACTACGAAGACGGCAACTTTGGCATTCGCATCGAGAGCTTGATGGTCGCCAAGAAGGCCGACGGTCTTCCGACGACGTATGGCCAGTTTTGCGTCTTTGAGACGATCACCATGTGCCCGATCCAGCGCCGCCTCATCGACACGGCGCTCCTCACGCCGGACGAGCTCGCGTGGCTCAACGCGTACCACGCGACCGTGCGCACGAAGCTTGCGCCGTTGCTTGTTGGCGCGCCGCTTTCGTACCTCCTCAAGGAGACGGAGCCGCTCGTGTTCGCTTGAGTCCTACTCTTTTTAAGTAGCTCAGCGTTATTCCAGCGAAATCCTTTGCCACGTCGAATTGTCTGCACGTTGACTCTTGGAGGGATGGTGTAGACTGGCGCCAAACGGAACTGGCAAATTAGCACACTGTGAATCTGGTCAAAGCTATAGTTTTAAACAGCCGTCAGCCCGTGAGGACGCTAACCTTCGAAGTAGAGCTCTTATTGTATTCTATTCTTCGGCGCTGGAACAATGCGCGATTGAATTGAAAGAAGACTCGCACGTTGCGATGGTCTCCCAGGCGCTACAGGAACCGCTGCTGCCAAAGGATGTCGCCCCCGTCGAGTCTACGGACGCGCCGGACGCCAAGGCAAAGCACCGCCGCGTGATCCTCGCCAAGCTTCGACCGACCGGCCGCGTGGCCGTCGACGGCCTAGCGTCCGAGTACGCCGATGCATTTACGCCACCGTTGCAGAAGCTCATGGCCGAAGCCGACTTTCGCGCTGCGATTGCCGCCATCAACCAGACGTGCTACGACTACTTTCCGTGCACGGCGTGCGTCGTGTATGCTTACTTTGGCGTCGCCTTGTCCTGCGGGCTCCTCTTCTGCTGCGTGCGGCCGTGCACGGGCGAGGTTTGCCTGGCTCCATCTCGGTTCGACGCCTCACCTCGCGCCGCGTAGGTCCAAGAGAATCTCGAGCTTGTGATCGACCGCATCAACGCCAAAAAGGCATTTCTGGACCAAGGCGTCGCGTGGAGCCTCGAGCGCACGCGCTGCCACTCGTGGATCGAGATCACGCAGTGCCCAGAGGAGCGGCGCAAGTCGGCGTCGCACCGCCACTCGATCTAAAAGTGTTTGCCAATTTTGAGTCCCCAGCGGCATCCCAACAACAGCGTTTGGCTAAGTTTTACTGGAATACATGTCGTATGTGAACCTTGCCGAGCATCGCCGCGAGAGGGACGCCATGGATATCCTGCCTGCCTGTCGAGAGCGATGTGGGTATTCTCAGGCTGGCGTCGTCTTGACGATCGATCGATACGTTGGGCCTAAGCCTCTGGTGCACTGCAGGCGGCGTCAAGAGGCAAGCAAACACGATCGAAACGATGCTATTATTTCGAGAATTCGCTCTTGGAGACGACGACGTTGTCACCTTTGAGCTCGTAGACGTAGGCCACAACCTTGTTGCCTTGGATGGCCATGAGAATGAAGCTGGGCACGACGTCGCTATCACAGCGCGTCCA